ATAGGTACTTTACATATACCAATGTTATTTTTTTTATATCAACTTAACTAAATAGAAGACACATAGTATCGATATACATTTTTCAAATAGTTTTAATCTCGGTTTAAAAAAAAAAATTTGAAATAAAGCCCAAGACCCAAGCACAAGAACCGTATTAGTACGGGAAAAATATTAATTCGAAACTAGGTAGTATAGACTTTTTACCGTGAAAAAGTTGCCAGCCAGTCTGAAAAATTGTAATTTTGCAGACGTGCCCTCATTATAATATTTGTTATTATTTCATATACACTGTTGCAATATTGTGTATCAGAACCGTGCTCGCGTATTTATCTCTGACTCTGTTGAGACCAAGACAAAGGAAATATGAAAACGAAATCGGTATTATAAAAAAATAAAGAAATAAAAATAAAATAAAAATCATTTATTGCAGATAATACACAGTCCATTTTGTTAGTAAACTTACAAGCTTTCTATTGTACTGCTAAAAATAAAATGAATTAATGAAATGATACATGATACTTGCTAAGTTCACCGAGCTCCCAGGACTTGAAGTTCGGTGAACCTAGCAAGCAGATCGGAGTCCCACCTATCCCCTATCATTATGAGAACTCTGTTTGAACTCTCTCGCACTCTGCGCAGGCAGAATGCCATCTTTTTTCGCATTAGTGCGCAAAAATCCTCTACTCTAGCGTCGACAAACATGCCTGACGCACTGCAATACGAGGAAGCTCAAACAGAGCCCTGAACACATTATTATACATAATGGGTAGTTATAGGCCTTCTGAGTGAAATCGACCCATAGGCTGCGTGTGTAGAATGTCTGGCAGTATGTTTTAAAAAACGTTATTTTAACTTCAGCTGTACAACGAGCCAGCACGTTACCCCGAACTGACAAAACCCTGCATTCCCTTTCTATGTCTAAGTTGTCATATAAGTTTTCTGTGACTATGTGCCCAAGGTATTTAAATTGTTTTATGGTACTCCGCTAAGAAATAGAGGTGGAGTAGTTTCTGAATATTTACTGCCTTTAGATAACATAAATTCACTTTTCTTTTCGTTGTACCTCAAACCATGTAAAAGTGCATAATTCTAACAAACTTTTAGTAATTTCCTCAGGCCACCAATCGACGGGCTCGGCAGCACCATGTCGTCGCTTATATTAGCTTAAGTTATTTTTACAAACATCATCAATAAAACACCCAACATGCATGCTGCTGAGCTCCTCGATCGGAGACATATATATATTATACGAAATATAATAAATAAATATTAGACAACATCACTTACGTTGCCCTGATTCCAAAGTAAGTAGTTAAAGCACTTGTGTTATGGAAATCGGCAACAACGACGGTACCACAAACACCCAGATCCGAGTTAGTTTTCTACGTTGACACGGCAGGGAATCGTATCCGGGACCTCAGAGATGGTAACACCAAAAAAACCAGTTGACCATGGAAGTCGTCATCAATATTACAAATCATATTTATTTTATAGCCATTGCGGCTATTATATTTTGTTTATTACGTCGTTATCGCCGCTGCCGTTTGAAGTTTGCCACCAATTTGTTTTTCAATATAAACAACAAACTATTTCTTTCAACGACGACCCGACCGTGCTGGCATCGCGTATTATTTATTGCTTTTAATTATGTAACTCGATAAATTTATTTCATTCTCACGTCGACGTGAGCAGAAATCGTTAAAAGTTACAGTGAAAGTAAAATGTGTTGCACACCACCACCACCATTGCCATCAACTCATTTGTATGTCCCGCTACTGGGCACGGGTCTCCTCTCAGGCGAGGGTTTAGGCCATAGTCGGCCACACTGGCTGGTTGAGGACTTCACACGTTTCCCAAGGGTTATGAACCTTCTTCGGCGTGTAGTTTCATCACGATCTTTTCCTTCACCGAAATACTTAGGCCGGAGGCGGTCAGTCCTTACGGACCGTACGCACAGCTGTGAAACCAGACTTATGGTAAAATGTGAGCCCGGATCCGAACCCTTAGCCTCTGCTTGAGTGGCGGTAACTTAAACTATTAGACTTCCACGGCTTCAGAAATGCATTTTCAAATGTTGATTATTTAATTTACAACTCCGTTGCCTTTATTATTCGAGATTTTTTTAGGTAAACTGCAAACACAAATCTACACGCGATCTGACGCAGTATGTGTGCACTTACTCAAAATAAAATGCTTTCCAAACTTTTTTTTATAAAAAAAGAACTTAACAACTCCACCAAACCAAACTATCACTATAGTTTGGTCTAACTTCGGTCACTCCATTTGTGGATCAGCTGTCAAGGTTGTCCAGTACCCGGGCGTAAGCGTAAGACAATGACCTGTTACGTGAAGATTTGGCGCTCCGCCAGCGTGACACACACTGTCGCTGGTACAAGGGAACGCTTATAAGGCTGCAGGAAAACGTTTGATTTACTGCTATTTCGCTCTGGAACTTGTTAATTGCCTTTCCCATTTGTAATGTTTGTTTTTTATTTATTTATTTATTTTATTTTTGAAGGTACAAACAGCTTATATCACAATGTAATAGAAACTATATTAAATAATTATAACAACAAAAACAGTTCCCTACTGATAAAAATACAATAGGAAAATAGCATTGACTAAATAACTAAACGACATTGTACACACACACACACATTACACATTATAGAAGCAATGTTACATTACGCAAATTAGATTACTTTAGTAATAAAAACACGAATTAGATAATACCTTCTTAACGTACGCACAGTTTGTGTTAAACAAATCAAAATCGTAAAGAGCAGAAACTTTGTTAAAATTATTGCTCGCACGCCATATAAACGAATTTTTGTAATTTTGCAAAGCGACAGGTAAATGAATTAGTGACTCGTTACGTAAATGCTTAGCTGGAACCCATAAGTGAATCTCAGACAGAAGCTCGGGGCAATCGACGATATTGGTGGTTATTTTACTATAATTTTTCTTCTCAGAGATGCGTTTAAATAAACTACGTGGAATGTCTTCTTTGTTAAGTAATAAAATTGACTTTGAACTGTGAACGGTTTGTTATAATTAGCGCCTTCAGCATACCGTGACGCTCTCCCAACTGAGCTACAAAGCGATACCGTGACGCTCTCCCAACTGAGCTACAAAGCGAACCAGCAGACGTTTTTCTATATGCTTATTGCAGTTCTTTGTTTTTGGTTTTTAACGACTCACCATTCTGTGAGAATTCTATGAAAGTTGTTTTTCACTCAGCCCTGGTACTTGTACTTTAGTAGCTACCAGCTGCTGACAAGAGATGCCGCTTTAAAAATTGTAATATAAAATTTTATTGAATATCACGGTGTTCTACTACCATGATATGATATTTTAGTAGCAGTACCTAGAGCTCCTTGTGAATGAGTTCGTCCATGGAAATAGACAGATAGATAGATACTGCGTTCCTGGGTGCTGGTGACATTAGAGACACATGGGACTTATCAACTTATGTCTCAGTGACAGTGCGTTTCAGATCTTTGCGATTTAAAGCTCTGACAGGCATGTCGCTTATGACCAGGTGTACGACTTATTCGTCCCACTCACTTGGTATAAACAAAAAGAAAATTCATATATTTTTTTGTGAATTATTAATACAAAGATCTAAGAAAAATTCCTTCGGATTCGAACCAGGACGATTCAGAACCTTACGATAACCCAGTTGTCGACCGATTGCTTTTCATTTTCATTCACAACACCTGAATCGAACGTCAAACTGTCGTATTCGAAACCGAACCGAACCGAAATGACGTCACACCCGTACTCAAGCTTCTCGACCGGCAAAGGCTACAAACGTTATTCAGAACACAGTTATCGAATTATAGTTACCGAACGTCCTTTTGTTTACAAAGCAAGAATTAATGTGGTAATCTTAGAATAATAACGCATAGAAACCTAGTCCGCACACGCTAAGTGAGGCAAATTGAAGCGCGCCAAAAGGGCCTACACGAGCGGGCGGGCCTTCAGTGCTCAAGGTCAACTTGCACCGCGAACAGATCAAGAATTTTAGCTAAAAATGACGAAATGTGCGGTAAATGATTGTAAAAATACGTCAGACAAACATAAAATAGATACTAACATCACATTCCACAAGGAAGTAACGCGTTTCAACATGTATTTTTATATAAATATTCACTAAAACCGAAAATTAACCTACTACTAAAACTAGCCTACATGAATTTGATTTTTGCCTCAATTGTGACAGTTCGTTTAATATGAAACTATCATTCTATTATTATTCTAAGGTGGTAATCTCTTATTATTTTAAATAAAGTCTGTTTTTGTCCAATTTTATTAATTTATTTTAATGCATGACTAATACAATACATACATACAATACATTCCTATATTTTAGGATTTTCATTTTTCTTATAATCTATTTCACCGACTAAATCTGTAAACGCTGTTGGATAACGATATCGTATCTGGGGGTTTACTCTCGATCTCCGTCGGACATCCGTCCGAAACAATTACTGTCAAATAAGTAGTGTTCGACAAAATTAAAAGACAAGTATCCAGTATGAAGCTTCACTCGCATCACGCGTCTTTTCATTTGGTCAAGTATTGCTCATTTGGCAGTAATTGTTTCGGACGGAGATCGAGTGTAGACCCCCCAGAATCCGAATCGAACGTATGACTCGTAAAGTTCTGAATAACACGGGAAGCGCTCTTAGGGTCGTATTCTAGAACTCTACTCAATGCTCAAGTCAGGATTTGAGTATGGTTTAAAGCACACGAAATCATACTCAAGTCCCTGCCATTAGGGTCGTATTTCCAGTGCTTGTGTTGCCAGTGCAATCCTGACTTGAGCATTGAGTAGAGTTCTGGAATACGACCCTTAGATACTAATATAACGATTCCGTTAAAATATTGAAAAGTTCTGAATGGGGGGTCCTGGCAGCGCCTCGAATTCAAACCGAAACTGGAGCAACCATTGTAGAGTCCAAAAGACTAGTGACTAAATGAAAACTCTTCCACAGATTCATGTGCGTGGACACGGTTGAACAGAGCATCCGAACACTGCAGCAGGCCAAGCTGGAGTTAGCCGAGAATGTTCTCACTGGCGCTCGCAACACCAACGCCTCTAAACTCACCATTGAGGATCTCAAGATGCTGTTTAATATGGGCCCGTCGTAATTAACACATCATACTGGATACTTATATTCTTCAATGCGGGTCAATAGGTATAAGCTTTAAAATAAGGTCTTACATGAAAATTTTAAATTATGATTTTGTTATTTTTAATAAACTGGCTGGTGCACACGACATCGTATACTATTACTAATTTTAATTACAAAAAGCATTAATTTAAATCTTCAGTTCATCAACTTGAGAAATGATAGGTTCTCCATACAAACTTTGGTCCCCTATGTCACCCACTTTAAGATTTATTTTTGTGATAGTAGCCTATGTCCTTCTCCTAGGTCCCATCTATCCTTATAAATATATATATAAACGTGAAAACGTAATAGACAGAGTTGCTATCGCATTTATAATATTAGTTTTGATTACCATGTGACCTACATACTTATGTCGTGTATTAAACCCTACGTAAAACCGAAATGTAACACTTTTCTGGCTGCTTGCATCCAGGAACAGTCCAAAAAGAAATATTAAGACTTGTTGGCGCACCATTATGAAACTTAAAAAAGTTTTAATATTACGTAACACAGCTTTTGTAATTTTTTTAAATTCATTATATCATTGACTTGGTTATAAAATGACATTTGAAATGCTGGTATACTATGTAATGTTTATTCCTAATTAGAAATAAAATATCGTTTAGTTTATATGTACTATGATGATGAGAGAATAGAAATGTTAGTCAGAGTGAGAGATGAGATGTATGATATTTTTATAAGAAATGTTTTTACAATAAATGATTGTTGCGTAAATTTATTTCTCATTCATATTCATTATTAATTCGACTTCAACACGGAAAATGTAAGTATATATTTTTTGTTTTAACGCAACGTTTCAACAATAAATTATTTGATTTCAATATCAAAATAATCAGAGATTGAACCCGGAGGAAATAGCATACTTTGTTTTTTTTATTTTTAACCGAGTTCAAAAACAGGAGGAGGTTCTTAATTCGAAATTATTTTTTGTGTGTATGTTAGGCGATAACTCAATATATGATAATTTGTGAACCGATTTTGATGACTTCTTTTTTTGTTGGAAAGAGGGTACTTCAGTAGTGATTCCATTTAAATTGAAGATAATTTTCCACCTCTAAAGGCCCATTTAGATGGGGAGAGTTTCTCGCACGCTTCGAGACGAAAAATCGTAGGCGATTCTCGTAAGCAATAATCGCCATAAGATTATCGTATCATAATGTTTACATTCAGGCAAGAACTAAAATCTCGCCTACGATTATGTCATACGAGACTCGTAAGCAACTTAATCGCCTCCTCGACTGTTTACACGGCGAAATATGTAGTAAGGAGATTCTTGCTTACGAGTTTTCGACTTGTCTAAACACAATCTCGTATGACATTTTTTCAAGTTCATACGATTATCGTACAAATCGGTTCGAACCGTTTTGAGTGCGAGAATTGCCATTCGAGTTCAGTGATTACTGCGGTATGACTATGAATATATCAAAATGATGCAAAAACCATTCAAATTTGAAACTGCTGATAATATTAAGTTCATTGCACTGTATAGAAATATAATTTTGATTTATCATTTTTTTTTAAATTTTATAACTACTGACACAAACAAAACTGACAATTATGATAAATTTATAGGGCGAGTGAGTGCGTGTGTGAGTGCGTGAGTGACTGAGTGAGTGAGTGAGTGCGTGCGTGCGCGCGGGCGTGCGTGCGTGAGTGAGTGAGTCAGTGAGTGGTGAGTGAGTGACTGTGAGAGTGGTTAGTGAGTGAGTTGTGAGTGAGTGGGTGACTGAGTGAGTGAGTGGTGAGTGAGTGAGTAGGGAGTGAGTGGGGAGTTAGTGAGGAGTGTTTATTGAAAAGTACATTTACTTGAAAAGTCGTGTCGGCCATCTTGGATTTAGAAATAAATGCTATGTTCGTAATGAGCACCCCCAAATACCTCAAAAACGATACCCAACTTGCCATTATTTGAAAAGTGCGGGCACGACTTTTTATCCTGGATTTAGAAAGGAGTGCCATATTCGTTACGAGAGCACCCTAAATCCTATATTGCCCACGCTATATTCGACCACAGAGGCACTCACTCACTCACCGTTATTTGAAATTTTTTTTTCGCTCTTGTTCCATTAATTCTTGTCTTAGAAAAGCAGTGATAATCAAAACACCCTCGCGCGCTGCACTCGTGGTAGAAACATCTGGCACAGAAACTCGAAATACGATTTTTGCTTTCGAGTTCTGTTTACACGGAGACGTTATATTGAAAGGCGAGGAGATTATCGCTCACGTGGACGGTCGATAATCGCAAATGTTTAGACGAGGAAAGTTTTTTTATATTCTTTCGATAATCGTATCTTCGAGATGAGAAACTCTCTCCATCTAAATGGGCCTTAAGGGTGGCAAACTAGGGGATGAATCCGGTTTCGCGCACTTTTCAATAAAATTTGGCATACAGAAGTAATTCCACGAACTTTTGAGGTCGGTTTTTTAGATTATACTAAGTGACAGGAAGACCAATTCGAGCGCCGGTGGTAAGCGACACGCCTCTCCACGACAGTTGTAGTCTCACTCAGAGCTATTTACCTACTCCGTACTATAAGTTACATTTTGAGTTTCAAAATTTTTTATCTTATTAAACTGAAGGCTTTTTAATCAATGTTCAGCAAACAATATTTTGCTGCCTGTGCGATGAGACTGGGACACATGGGACTTGTCAACTTCTTCATGTCGAAGACGAGTGTAGTGGTAGTGCGCCTCTGATCTCTGCAATTTAAAGTGGCACTGTAATTCTTATATATTTATTTTTACTAATGTATTTGTAATTTTAATTATATATTTACACAGTATTATATATAGTCTCTAATACACTGTAAAAACTAAGTTATATAACTATGAAAAAATAATTATATTATAATACTCTAAATTTCCGAACATCCATCATTTTACGACCATGAAAACACCTTAATAACTTCACTCACTTCAAACGGCGTAACGACTAAATCTAGTTTTTTACGACGAGAGCCGACTAAATCACGATATATATGGATCTCGAGATCGAGAAATGGTGCTGCTGGAATAAGGTTATTCCAGCGTGGACAGTAAAACACCCTTATAACTTTTGAACGGCGGACCGACTAAATAGCTACTTTTTCTGACTAGTGAAATTTCTAAAACTCGACCATACTCACGCTGGAATAAGGCACGCCATTTTACAGAATCTCGTGTAGGCGTGTAGCTTACCACCAGACGCTAGATTTGTCCGTCCCGTGTTGATATCATACAATAATAATAACAAAGTGCAACGCCCAATGTAACGAAATCGTCGAGTCCTCGCCAAAAAATGCATTACTGAACGTTCATAAACAAAAAAATGCATTGGTAAATCAGAAACAGAGTGATGGACTTTCGGAAGGACGCACATAACACGGTGAGCTAAAAATAAAATAGGAATCACGTCTGCCATTGAAACATGCATTATATTCCCATTTCTTGTGAGTTTGTGTCCGAACGCCTTTCGGATACATCGTCTTGAATAGTGTCCTTTACAATTTAATAATAGGTGTGTTTTTCGGTGTTTTTTTTTCTTTAATTTAGTGAATTAAAATCTCTTTAGCGAAAAATGAGCATAGAACAGAGACGAGCATGGAGCGGTGCCAGTCCGCAAATGACTAAAAGAGTATGTGCCACTATTGTTTTCTTTGTTGGAGTTATTTGTGTGTTTGGAGGTGAGTTTTTCAAAATATGCAACAAGATATGGTTGGTATTACTGTTACATGGTCAAAAGTGCAGATACATATTTTGTAAAAATAATAAGATAAAATGATTTTGATGTAAAAAAGATGTAGTAACTTACTCTTCAATATACCATATTTATTAAAGCCAAATCGGTTTGAGTCCAGAAAAAACCTAGGCATTGAGAATGAGAAGACTGAAATAAAATAATATTTTTTTAAGGATTCGGAATTAAATCAAGTTGGGGTAACATTGAATTTCCCTGTAACTTTTATTCAAAGTTTAACAGGGGGTATTATTATTTATTTAAAAGGCATTGGCTATAGAGCTACAGATAACAAATAATTAAAAAACTCTAAACGTAATAATATTTCCTATAAATTAACTTTGGTAAAAACCGGCATTTTATTTAAATAAAAAACTACCTTGAGGATTTTTTCAAAAAACATAGGCAAAAATTAACTGCGTGAAACAGAAAGACCAAATCTAGATGTCAAATGTGACATAACTTTGACAGTTATCAAAAAAGTTTTGGAAGCCAAATACCCAAAAAAAAAAAGTTAGAAAGATACGCGCCCGAAACTGACACTGGCCCAAGCCTAGTGGCCGCCATTAAGGAAATAGAATAGAAGCTACGCGGCAAATGTGTGCTTCAGTTTCTTTTTTCGGTAGATGGTAATTCGTAAATGGTATAATAATGGTAATGGCTAGAAGCATTTTTAACCGACTTTAAAAAAGGAGGAGGTTCTCAATTCGACTATGTTTTTATTTGTATGTATATTACACGAAAACTCCGGTATTTGTGAACCGATTTTCATGATAGTGGTCCCATTTCATTTTGAAGAAAATCATCCACCTTTAAAGGGTGGCTGTTCACGCATGAAGATTAATTTTTATAAATAGCGCCTAAATTTAACTTAAGGAGAAATTATTTTAATGGTTGATTTTGCTATTTCTCCAATTCAAGGCGTTTTTCTCTCAATATACTTTAAGTAGTGAGAACCGTTTTTTATTATCTCCTGTGTCAAGTCCTGTATAGTGGCGAACTAGGGGACATTTCAATAAAACTTAGCAAATAGACGTAATTCCACGTACTTTTGAGGTCGGTTTTTTAGCACTCTGTATTGAGATTATAAATAGTTCGCTATGATAAGTTCATTTAATTTGATAGATCTATGTTTATTTTTCATTCAAAATGCGAGTATATTCTTACCTAAATCAGTTAAATTGTAAATGAAAATGACTCGGTTCGATGACACCTTTTGCTTCTTGTGAAAGAGTTCGTCCAGGGTGGTACTGCCACCTTACCTATTCTTGCCGCCAAGCAGTAATGTCAGCATTACTGTGTTCCGATTTTGAAGAATAAGGGTGCTGGTGAAATTACAGGCACATGGGATTTGTTAACTTATGTCGCATTTGCAATTTAAAGATCTAAGTGACACTGTAACTGTTATGGACAGGCTTACCAATAGGCGTACGACTTGTTCGTCCCGTTACTCATGTTATACAAATAAAATACCCAAAGTCAGAGTACGTTTGAACAATCGCTTAAGCGCAATTTTCTTAAACAGTTTTTTCTATTTTATTGAGATTTTTTTAGGTGAAATAACTTCACTAGTTTTGTTATGATTATACGTGGGGGCCATGTTTAAACAATATAGGAAATTAAACTTTTTTTTTCGGCTCTAAATCGCATACATTTGATTTAACATACACTTTTTGAACATTTTATGGTGCCATGGTCACAGCTGACTTGTTGAACCGTGAAACTTTTGATCCGAAAAAAAATAGTTTCTTTTCCTATATTGTTAAAGGAAGAGAGGTTTTTTTGTATATTACGCGAACACTCCCGATATTTGTGATTTCGATTTATTATTTTATTGTTGAAAAGTAGGTACCGGTAGGTAGTAGTGGCCCATTCAGATTTGAGAAAATATTCCACCTTTAAGGGTGGATAATAGTCAAAGTCAAAGAAGAAGAAGAACGAAGAACGAGCAAGAAACTCTAGGGATTGCTCTTTTCAAATAAATTTTAACGCTATGGAATACACTTTGAATCAAATGTGTGTGGATTCTGGAACCGTGTCGTCTTTCCATACATCTTTATCTAACACGTAGTCTTCAATTTTGTAATATGATTTTTCGATCAAAATATTTTTAATGTAGTTTTTTAAACTTAGGAAATGATAAACTTAATATAATATGCTCCGGAATCTTATAGTAACAACGTATACAGTTCCCCATAAAAGAGTTGTTTACCTTGGTTAAACGAAATCGCGGTAGCATGAGTTTGGACTTAGCTCTAAGGTTAATATTATGGACATCTTCTTTCTTATTGAAATTATGTATATTTATACGGGCATATAAAATATTTGAGTAAATGTACTGTGATGCCACAGTCATGATACCAGTCTCCTTAAACTTTTCTCTGAGAGAAAACAGAACGAATCGCTCGTTTTTGCAATACAAATATGGTTTGAATATCTGCCGCTTTACCCCACATGAGAATCCTGTAGGACATTATACTATGGAAGTAACTAAAGTAAACTAGTCTAGCAGTACTAACATCGGTAAGCTCACGTATTCTGCGGACTGCGTATGCAGCGGAGCTTACCTAATCTGCTGGCCAGAGACGAACGATAATCAGGGTATGAATCAAATTTATTGAATTTTACCCACTTTCCGTTAATCGATTTCAATAAAACTTGGCACGCATGTGACCTAGATTTTCGTAATTATTAATGAATCTACTTCTATAGGTTTGTCTTTAGATGCGTTCTGAATTTACACCTCATCAATTTTTATTCTTACTTGTACTTTTATTTTGTGTGATTAATTAATTATTGAAACGCAACGTTTTTGCACGCAGATTTCTAATGAGAAAAAAACCCTTACGAGCTAGTGAGGTAAAAAAATTATTAATATGGACTAGGTTGCGAGAAACCGGTGGATGCGAGGAAAGCAAAACGGTAGTTGCATGTTCAGTTATTAATTATTTTCTATTGAAATGGTTCCACTATGTAATCCACTACCCAAGTTAAATAGTCTCTGCTGCCTCCACTGCTGTAGAAGGTTTCTTGTATAGCACCATCGAAGTAATTTATAATTATTGTCATAGTATAAATACGAAGAAATGGTGAAATTACAGGCAAATGGGTTTTGTGAACTTATTTTGTTTTTGTGAACTCAGATGTTTGTAATTTAAAGCTCTGCGTGGCCCTGCAACTGTAATGGACAGGCGGGTCCCTTACCACTAGCCGCACGTTTAGTTAGTTCGTTCCCTTGATGCCATAAAAAATAAAATAACATAAAAAATAAATAAAAATAAAAAATCTTTCATTCTCGTACTTCAGCATAGGTATTACACTATCTGTCTATCATTTAATTTTTTAAATCTTTTTCCCCATCTAGTTTGATGCTGTCCGAGACCCTTGTTCACTTGTAGGTGTTTATTATGCTATCACGCATTTAGCCTTTGCCTAACTCGGCATAAACCACGTTCTGTTTCGACTCTATATTCTACTCTCCTCAACTGCTATTAAAATGTTTCACATATTGTCATAGATTGTTGTTACAACAGCATCCGTTATAATTTTCTCTGAAATAGTCTGAAATTCTTAACTTTTTTATTCCTGTTTTTTTTTTTTTATCGCAACCGGCGTTTTAAAAGTTAAAGTTATTACGGAAAGTATAAAAACAACTTTATTAGTAAATATTTCGAAACTACGGGTCCCGTAACACACTTTCTTGCATATAACACCCCACTCGTTAGATATTTTTTTGTTTTATTCGTGAATGTAAAACCATTCCTTTTGTTTATTTTCAGGTTATTTGTTTGGAAGAATGTCTCGTAGCGAAGTGAAGCGGACCAACGACATCATAACATACAATCTTACGTCTGTCGCCGACAATTTGTACAAGAAAGCTAAAAGAATATCTCCAAAGGCTCTACATCACATTGACTTGCCTAAACTGACTTTAAAATTTCTCGATCTCTTCCACTGCAGCAAGAATGAGTGCGGTGAAATAAATCCTCTAAATTTACTCTCATTTGTTCGTAACTGCATTAACAATGAAGTCATCAAGCTAATTAGGTCTATACAGAACGCCACGGTTTATTTAGACACGATGAGGTGACATTATTGTTCTATTCCTGTTCCATTCGAAGTTATTACGTGATTATAGCCTAGATTTGAATTAATTATTTTATTTATAACGTATCTTTAGTATTTTTGTGTAAATAAATTTTTGTTGTTATTGTGTATCCTTTATTTTTAGTCTCTCGTAAACAGTAGGCACGTATATGCTCAGATTACAAAACATTAATCTGAGCATATATGTTTAAGAGAATGCAAATCAAAACTTAAATTTGTAACTGCTGCCAATTTTATAAACATTTGCCGTATATGACGGAAACCAAAATAGTTACAAAAACCTACAAATGCCAACCAAATACTTCTAAACTTATCTCGCCTATAACAATACATACGGAAAGAAAGAATTGATGTCCCTGTTGTAGAAAAATGAAATTTTATTTTATTTATTCTGCGTAGTATGAAACAGGTAAACGACTGCATTTCCACTTATAAATTGCCTTACTATGATTGGTTAAATTAAAACCGCGAATATAAAATAACCAATCAAATATTTCTATCGCGTGCATTGAGGACTAAAGATTTTAGTAGTGGGGGTTAATGCCGACCAATCAAAAGTCTTGTAGATGTTTTACCGGCGGCGTCCGTCTATCATGCGCGTCATGGATTCGCATTTGGCAAATTGCGGCGCCATTTTGTGCTAGTGCTAGCGAGGTTACGCTGTGCAGTGCGGTTTTGTACAATCAAAGTGAAACTATACAAATAAATACGCAATGGTGCCGGTAAGTAAATAGTTACATATTTTACGCTGGTTGAAAATTAGAGATACATTTTAACGACAATGGACTTTTTCAGCAAACAAAAGTATTCGTCGGCAGCCTGCCTCAGGGCTCCAAGCCGGAGGAATTGAGGAAACTATTCGAACGCTTCGGCGTCGTCACCGAATGCGATATTATGAACCGTTGTGGGTTCGTCCACATGCAATCGGAGGAGCAGGCGTCGGCCGCGATTAGAGCGTTGAACAACACCACGTTCAATGGCGGTGTAATTTCTGTGGAGCGCGGAAGGATCAAGGAGCGCGGTCAGAGAGGCAGCGGTGGGCCTCGAGGTGGTATGCGTGGTGGAATGAGAGGAGGCATGGATCGACGCGGCGGCGGGCCCATGCGAGGCGGGCCGGGCGGAGCACGAGACGCGCCTTACATGCGAGACCGGCCCATGGGGATGCGCGGTGGCGACATGCGCGGCCCGCCGATGGGCGGCGGTGGTAGCATGGGTATGAGAAACGGCATGGGCGGCGGCGGATACGACCGCGGCATCGATCAGAGGCCTATGGCCGGCGGGTACGACGACCGCTACAACGGCTACGGCGGCGAGGACAGACGCGGTTTTGCGCTTATGGATGGCCGGAGTCGCGACCCATATGCCGCTCAGGCGCCCATGTACGCCGACGACCGCAGAGGATACGGAGCTGCTCCCGTTGACGACATGTCTGCGATGTACCCTGATGATAGAAGACAACCTATGTACCCTGACGACTCTTATGACAGACGAGCTCCGATGCGAGGAGGACCTATGGCCATGTCTTCAGGATATGATAGAGGAGTGCCACCACGATCAGCTGGTATGGGCAATGGAGACATGTTCAGCAGAAGAACACCACCACCCATGTAAGTCTTTGTCACTTATTTATCACGCCATTATTTTTTTTATATTTTCACAATTCTTAAGTGGTGAGACGAACAAGTTGTGCGAGTGTTGGTAATTGACACGTCTTTCCATGACATTAATAGTAATAATGTTCAGATTACTAATATCAGTATTGCATTACATTGCCATCATGAGTAGTAGGTCACTTACTTACTGTCAATTTCTTACATTGGTACTGACAGTAATAAAAAGCATAAAAATAAAATATCGAATCATAGAGTACAGGCTGTAATGTACAAATTATAATTACTAATAAAGAGTTAAAACTACATCTATCATATATGGCCTCGTAATGAAAAAAGGCACAACTATGCATACTTTACAAAGCAGTTGTGCTTTTTTTTCGTTCCGAGGGCAGAATAAACCTTATTATGAGGTAACACACAGTATTGCCCTGTACAGATTGTACATTATAAGGCCACATTAGTTGGCCGTCTAATACCAAACATTGCATGCTTTAGTAACACTTAGAAAAGAAATATATTCATCATGAAGTTTGTAGATACTGTCACCTAAGTAAAAAAAAAAAGTAAAAAAACTGGGGCTGTTGCGAATATTACCATCGGCATCTGCAGATATTCTGCATAAATTACAATATCCGCATTAATTGATGCTGATATTCATTGCGTATGTTAGAATTGTGCCATGATTTAAAAGACTCACTGCAACAATTTACAAACCTTCCAGAAACAGACTGTACGCCAAAATAGCAGTTCAGATGTTGTTTTTAAAAGATAACTGATACAATTATGCAGATTAAGCTAGGTAAATTGATAGATTAATGAAAATTGATTCTTATGTTTTAAATGTCACAAAATCATTGCAATAATATTTTATTACAATCCCAAAGTAAATAGAAAGCATTTTCATGTAAATAGATTCAGCAAGTATGTACATCAGTATCTGCTGATGTAGCCGCACTTTTCGTAGCGAGCGGATGAGTGAAACTGTGCGAGACGATGGATTTGAAAAGTTATGAAGAAAAAGTTGTCGTGGCTTGTTTGTTGGCTGAAAAAGAAAGAAGAGAAAAAAAAAAGAAACATGATATCTGGATACATGACATATTTCGACTAGGTCTATGTGTAAGACTACTTGTTCTCAGGACATATACATTTCGTTCGTTCTTCTTCGCTGTGGATGTCAGATCGACCTTTGTTCGATTTTATATTTCCGAAACGAAGTAAGATATATAAATTTTCAAAATTCCTTTACATAGGACCTAGTTTGAATAACGAAATTGTTCTTGTAACGTACTTATTCTCTTTTCGCTATATAATCACATCGGACTCTGTTCTTCGGATGAGTCGATTTAAGAAGAGATCGCAACATGAAGAATATCATACGCTGTTTACTGATTTGCTAAACAACGACATCAAATTCTTCCAGTATTTTCGTATGCCTCATGTGTAAATTTACTATTCTTAACAAATGGCAATGGACGCAGTTGTATGAACTTTTATACAAACAATACTAAGGGTCGTATTCTAGAACTCTATTCAATGCTCAAGTCAGGATTGCACTGGCAACACAAGCACTGGAAATACGACCTTAATGGCAGGGACTTGAGTATGATTTCGAGTGCTTTAAACCATACTCAAATCCTGACTTGAGCATTGAGTAGAGTTCTAGAATACGACCCTCAAATCCGTATAATGCGATCTGCCCGATGCGTGCGCTGCGGATCTGTGGACGCCTACCTTAAAAAGGCTTAAGTTGTACCAGTTAAGAAACTCATCGATTTAGCATTAAAGATGGTTATATCATTATATTTGTAATTGCAGGCGCGGCGCAGGTGGCGGCGGCGGTTATGATAGAGACCCTTATGCTCAGCAGTATCCACCCATGGCACGGTAAGCTTGCAGTCTCACCGTATACAGTGGCCAGTGAGTAAATAAACAACACATGTCACTTACATATTGAATTAATGAAAGTTAATGAAGGCATTTACTATAATGCATACAGCCCATTGAAACGTTTTCTCGTTAAATAATTTTTTAATTATTGCTTTTGTATTAATTATATACCTTAATAAGTTTAATGAGAAAATAACATGTTTCGTGGAAATGTTATACAAATTGTTATTGGTCTTCATTGGTTTTTAATAGTTCAACATGTATACCTGCGAAAGTGCTCAGATATCCTCAGTTAACATGAGTAAATTTTCTTCTCATCCTATGAATCAAACCTCCGATGAAACAATTGACTTACAATAAATTTGAAAAATTTACAGATAGTGAGTTAAGTTTTGTGTTTAGGACTAGAAGTAAATTCGAAGAGCTTTTATTAGTTATATTATTTCCATAAACATTGCTCCCTCTATAGAAAAATGAAGGTATGCATAATGTTTCACTGTTTATCCATATAAATAAGATTTTTAAAAAGGTTTGACGTCACTGTTTTTTGGCTTAACGAAGTCTGTGTTTCATCTGAGATGCAAATTATGTCAGTGGGATAAAAATTTTATATGTAATGGTAATTGGTATGTTCTGCTATGTGACACAAACTATAATAAGCGCTTAGCAACATTGATTCCTATTAGCTGGTGATAACTTTGCACATTTGCAGTCTCTGATGCATGTAGTTTTATCCATAGAAATGTTAATTAGTAACCCAATATAGGGATTGTTTATCCAAAATAGAGCGTGTTTATTCACTGGTCACAATTCCTCATAATATGAAGGGAGTTAAGTAACTTACTCATTGTTATCCACCACTACACTTGAACAAATGTGTTAATGATACATGTAAAGATGTTATATCCGCTGTATATCTGTTCTACGTAGGGCTGCCATCTGTAAAAACCATTTAACCTGTTTTTTTTTGTATAATAATGTGAAACCCAAACTACTGATGTTTCTCATTACTTACTAATTTAAAATAGGTGCAAATTATTTCCCGGTGTCATTAACAAAATCACAGCATTATAAAACAAAACAGCTTAGGATTATACAATTAATAAGGGAACCCCGGAATGCTCCTGTACTAAGTGAAGTCCAGGGAACCGGCACGGATAGCAGCCCTAACTTCACGTACCATAATTCTTAATGTCCACCTATCGCATAGTCAACTTTGTGGCACGCCTCTTTAGGTTATAGTGATGCAGGATCTACTGTACTAAGCTAATTATTAATAAGATGTAGTAGTTTGTACTTGTTAATATTACTTTTCGTTTCGCATGGGTAGCACGACAGCTAGCGGCACACTCGTCCAGTTAACTCCCGTGACATAAAACACGCTCTATCGACTTGGAACAATTTTCCACTAGGCTACTGTTACGTCATGCTACCCAGGCTGATTGTCGAACACGTGTATCGCACGTAAGGTAGTGCGGTGTTGTATTCGTATGTCGTAACGTAGTGGGCCATTCACTATGAACAAAGCGGGTGTCGCCAAGTGCGCTATGAGGGGAGACGGGCGGGCAGAGGTTGAGCGTCTGTTTGTATGTAGCGGGGGCGGCGGCGGGGCGCGCGGCGGGCGCGGGATGGGAGCCATGGGCCCGCGCCGCTACTAGCCACGGCTGGTCGGCTGCAGCACTAGCTCTAAGCCCGTAGATTATCCACGCGACACGAACAAATGTACCTAGCGTTGTCTTCCCGAACGGAACCGCACTCGGCCGATTTAGAGATGCGTAGGTAGCGTTAGCCGGTCCGCCCGGGCGACTCGCGATAGGTTGAGATTGTACGGTAAGGCGGCTCTAGCTTGTAAGTCCATTCGATATACATTTTGTGAATCATTTGTAAATGAAAATAAATGAAATAATTATAACGGAACGGTTTCATTTCAACAGCTCATCGGAGTGGTCGCCACATATCAGATTGTCTCACTGTTAGATGATACGAAATGCAATTTCACATAAGCTTAACATGTTAAGTAAGATATTTTAGGAAGTTTTATTTATACTGTATATTTTCTTTAAGATTAAAATTCTTATGGATAGAATATTTTTAATTTAATTATCCCTTTTTCGGTACTAAAATATCGTATGCATGCTACCCTGGACTTTCTTCCTGGCTTCAAACTGCTTCTATGGGTGCGGTTTAACTGTGATTTTATTGCAGGAGTATGAGTTACGTGTCTAACTGGCAAAAGTTTAGCGAGTCGCCTGAGGTCAGCACGGTCCGCACGGACGGCCTGCCTCGCGGAGACACGTGGATTACAGAGCATGGACGGTTTCAATACTCACATCCTTAGTAACGGCTGTTAGGTAGCACAGTTCGTGACATAAAGGGGCGTATATTATGAAAGCAATCAAAAAAGTAAAATACGCAACAAAAAAATCAATGTAGGATTTCTCACGAAGCTCACAATGTTGAGCAAGAACGTCCGTTTTGCGGGCCTGTCCAAATTCTTGTGAGTTGACAATCGTCGCCCCCCATTTTGCGTCCCTGATGGCCCTTCCGGTATGCGAATCTGCTCTGTAATCCGTATGTTGTACAAAATGTGCCTAACGGCGTGCGAGAATCGGCTTTCACACGAAAGCACGAGCAAGTCCTTTCAGATAGTTAGAAGCGGCAAAACTGCGCGAGCGTACGGCAGCGAACCATAATCGATGCTTGACGTTGCTACATCGTCAACGACACGCGTCCGACACAATAGCGTTAGGCGACGACGCCGGCGGCGAACCGCAATCGTAAGTACGGCACACTGACGACACGTTGACGGCATGCGATTGTCTTGCGCTTTAATAACAATTCGAGCCACAACTGCTACCATCGCCCCGTGAGGACGCTGCGCCTTGAATCGAATATCGGAAATGGCGCCTCCGCTATTAGCTTAAAGTTTTAAGAGTGTAAGGTATGCCGATTAAACCGAAACGATTAAAAAAAACGTTTATTGCATTGAAGACGGCGACCAACACTCGTTATTTTTATCGTTCACAGATCGTTCAAAATATTTTGCAAGTCAATAATTTTTTGTACCAATAAACGTAAAATTCCAAATATTCCTAAAATGACGATGCGTTAAGAGTAGGTAATTGACATCGCAATACGGATTTCGAACGCCGTTATAAAATTTGTTAATGTGTCTATGTCTAGCAGTAACACCTGTCAATGAAGATGACCTTTTAAGCGTGAAATACACTGAAAGAGGACGCGGGTCGGGCGCGTGTCGGGTCGGGAACGCAGCGGGTGTAGTTCGTAGTAGTAGTAGGGGCGCTGGTCGAGTTCCGCGTTCCATATAAATACACGGTATTACACTCGCCGCGCTCCCGACCCGACATGCGCCCGACCCGCACCCGATTTCAGTGTTTCACGCTTTATGCAAAGAATGAAGCATAATGTTCATCGAGTGGGTAATAGAGTTTAAATTTGTCTTGACGTATTAAAATAGAAACCAATGGCCAACAGGAAACTTTCATGTATTATATTGCGCCTAATCATCTCTATACTATTGATTTACTATTAATATTTTTTGATTTATTATACACTTGCGATTTATAGGCGATTGCAACGATGCAAACGCGCAAACTGCATCGATACAAACGCGAGATAACAATGACAAGTGTAGCGATGCAATCGCGCGTTTGTATCGATGCAGTCGCGACTGCAATTGTAGAAGATTAGGTACAGCATCGCTGCTGCAGTCATAAACGCTTATATATATTAAAAAAGGGTAAATTAAACAATACCAAAATATCGGTTAGCTGAAATTACCTAATATAAGTTAATTAGTTCTATGTGGACAAATTATTTTGGGTTTGTGTAGTCAACATTCCTTTTGTTGTTAAAATAAACTTAAACAGCTTAAACTTTTGTAACATCATTCTTGGGCTCGTAACAGGAGCTGTAATTTTTTTGCTATGACATTATTGTGGCAATATAAAATAAAATAATTTTAGAATGTGTACATACACATATAGATAATAATAATTTTTAATCCACTTTGCACCTTTACAGGTAGCAGAGTGGATTTTTTAACTTTAAAGTTGCCAATGTTATGAAATGTTTTTCGTTCTATAATTAATACTGAATTAGTTATAAACGATATATAAGTAGTTCAATTGCTCAGTTTGATACCAGAGCACTTTCCATTGGCCGTAGGTTCCTTTTGTCGGCGTATACCTCCATATGACGAAACAAATGTAAATTCTATTTCGATTTGATATATCCAACACTTATGCTTAGTTCTTTGGGTAAAAGTATTATTGAAAGACAAGTCGTCTTTTTATAACTGAAAAAGTTATTTACATACTTGAATTCAGAACTGTTCAATGTTTTGAAAGTAATTCGTTTTCTGCGTAAAGGAGTCACCATACTTAACGCAGAACAGGCTTGAGTCGGCTGCAAAAAGTCCGTGCAATAACAGCGAAAAATATCTGCGAATCCCGTCATCGGCCCGAGCGCAAGCGAACGCCCAAACGAAAGCTTTTTCTGACCAGCTTGCTATTCTGTGTCTAAGTGTGGTGATTGCCTAATTTGTACCGTCCATTATTGTTGTGAAAGGGCGAAGTGCTTCCGCTAGGTATAGGCACAATAAAAATCTACACTCAGTCACACTGACAGGGTAACAATATAAGGATATATTTAGATTTTACTAATTATATTTTTATGATTTACAGGGATTATTCGGCGCCTTGAAGGTGACCCGAAGCGATGAACTAATGGATGAAAATTAATAGGTCTGACTAATAGGACGCGCGGCAAGCGAAGTGAGATCGGAAAGGAAAAACCGCCAGAAAGAAAGCAATAAACCAGTATACTTAAAGTAAAACGTGTTTGATTTTATACCTATTTATTATACCAACAACCAGGGCTTGTTAGGTTTAAAAAATATTGTATTATAACACCGGTGCCAATGGGAAATCGATATGCAGCGAATCACATATAGGTACGTGAGGCGCACTATAAGTTTCCGGAATGAATAAGAAAAAAAATACTATAAATGGATAGAAATTAATTTATTGTTTATCAAAATATTCTTCGTTAGCGTTAATGCACTTTTTCATATGAATGAACCAATTTTGAAAACATGCCACAACTCCGTGACGATCTCTGAAACATATTTTTCATACTCTTCGACAGCCTCTTCAGGTGATGAAAATCGTTGACCGCGTAACTGGTTCTTAATTTTTGGAAATAAATAAAAGTCACAAGTTGCCAGGTCGGGACTGTACGCGGGATTCATCTTAAATTCAACGTTGTTCATAATTGTTGTTCACCTTAAAATTTCATTTGTCTGTGGCCGTGTGAGAACTGGCATCATGGTTGTGCAAGATGATACGGCATTTACGGTTATTTTTACGGAGTTTGTCAATTACTTCCGGCAAACAAATGGTCGTGTACCAATCACTATTCACGGTACAACGATTCTTCAAAGCAACAGTAGCCACGTGTCAAGTTTTATTAAAAAAAGAAGCAATCATCCGCTTAGAGGCACTATGCACGCGCGCCATATTCGTTGGTTTCGGCTCCAAAAAAAAAAAATAGTAATAGTCGTCCAAAAACGTATGTCGCGCATTAAATGCATTAATGAGTTTGCGTGAATAGTTCCTGTTTTAATTTTATCAAATTTTTGTATATACATTTTTGTTTGTTTGTTTTTGTTTCGTAATTATTTATTTATGTTTTACGTTGAATGTTTTGTTTTAGTACTGTTTTGTTCCGTTTTCTCTATTTTTTTTGTCTTTTGTGTCATTGTTGTAAACAAATAAATGTATTTTCTTTCTTCCTTTTCTTTCTAAATTGAGTTTAACTGCTTCTCTGACACTTGTTACCGAAAAGGACGTACTATTTTACTCTGCTTTCAAAATGCATTATATCGTATATCGTTAAGTCGAATTGCTCTAAACCGAAAGTACGTCTGAAACATCAAGTATATAACCAGAAATAGAGACGAAATAAGGGCCATATATTCCTGGTAACACATTAGCGATACAGCTCTTATAAAAATCAACTCTCGTTTGCACTGAAATATAGACAGGCCAACTACTGACCCGTGTATACGTCTGCGTATATTAAAAAAAAATTCTGTATTTATTGTAATAAAGATAATATCTCTAAGAATGCCGTGCTGTTCCATTCGATGATGTGGGAAAAACAGCAAAACATCTAATTACAAAACAAACGGAATCACATTTCATCGGTAATCAAATATGTAATTTTGCAGTTTTCGTCCATTATAGCAAAGCTCAAGTTAACTGGTCGATTTGAAGTGAAACAGTTGACGACACCCGTCAATTGTTTCGAACTCGGGCTAGCCAATCGGAGCGCAGTTGTCCAGTAATGATATGGCAGAATAGTTTTCAAACAAATTAAATGACATTTCGTCTCTATTTCTGGTTACTTACTGGTCTGGTAATACGATGGTCTGAAACAACTAAAATCTGAAAAATCCCCGCCGTATATTTGAATCCTCTGGTACGATCCCCTAAGGGATTTATGAAAACACTAGTGACAACAGTTAGAATAAGGGCAAATCAGACCTTCTGTTTAATAAAACCACATATGATCATCAGTGATCGGATTTCAGGGAGTTAGCCAAACTAAAGAATAATGTGGACTTTCCCTTCTTCAAATCCCAGGACTTCTCGTAACCGATTAGGTTATTATTTAATGAAATTAGAGTACACTGGTGACAAAGTATTATTTCTTATTAAGTATTCGCTATAAATTAACTAGTGCAAGTAACAATTGTTCCACGTGGAACTGTACATGGAACTATTGGGAATTAACGATTAGTGACTCGAAAAATAATACTGTAGTTGTTCCTATGGGTACTTACGTGTTTAAATATTATAGTCATTTGCAAAATACACAGACAACCTATATTTTGAATGTTTCAAAAATAAAAAATAAAATTTAATGCTCGTTGATGACGAAATGGGTATGTCCATACTAAGAAAATGTTCATACTTTAATTCAAATTCAAAATAATCTTTATTTCATAAGTAAGTATTATTACACTTGAAATCGTCACAATGGTTAAACTCTACCGCTCATTCGTAAGGCAGATTCCCCTGAGAAGAATGAGCAAGAAAC